TTTAAGATCACTGCTTTCAAGGTATGTTCCATGATCACCATCTCTATGCGCAACCATACCTTATAACATATGTGATCTAGGGATTTTATCTTAAGTGCAATTATATGATAAATGCTTACTCTTAAGATAAAGTAATGCCTTTTAATTAATATAATTCCAATAGATTGTATTTACAAGTAGAATACGTCCAATCTGATTGGAACGCCGGGTATACTACTCCAACAGAGGTTTGATCCGGGACCACAGGGGCGCCCTTATCACCGCCTTCCACATGTCCCTTCAGGCCTCCTCGAGCTACGACACAGAGGTTCTGGCACTACATATTGGCCTTCACATTGCTTCCCATCTCTCTCATCATATTTGGATCGAGCTGGACGTTGCGGCTGTCGTCACCATCCTGACCTCGGGCCATTAGGGTCGTGGCAGATTCAGCACCCGCTTATGCGCATTAGAGCTCTTCTGCGGTCTGTCCATCACAGAATTACTCACATTTTTCGAGAGGGGAACAATTTTGCTGATTACCTTGCCAGCCTTGGCGCCTCCACACCTGACCTACACACGTTTTAGACCTACACTGCTCCACTCCGCCTTCGCACGCTGATACGGATGGACCAACTTGGATATCCATCTTTCCGCTTTTAGTAGAGTAGATTTGGTTCTCATTAGATCATACATTTATTCCGGGCACCTGTTAGCCCGATGACAGACCTTGTATTATTTCTTTTTTCTGTTTTTGTTTTTGTTTTGACTATGAGACTATGTTCACTTTAGCTGTTTGGTTTTTTGGGCCCGTTTTGGGGTCTTGATCTATATACAGGTTGGGGATCCAGCCCAATCCCCCGCCCTCCGGGGCTTTGTTTGTTAAAAAAAAAAAAAGACTAGCAAATCATACAACTAACCTAGCACCATCAGACAATTAACCTAGCATGCTAGGTTGACAAGAAGGGCGTAGCTCAGTGGTAGCACCCCTCACTTGAGACCAAAGAGGTCACGAGTTCGAGTCATCCAGGGGGTAAGTGGGGAACCACTATTGATCCTCTTTAAAAAAAAAAACCTAGCATGCTAGGTTATTTATATTTAATTGCAAGTTTAGATGTCAACGGTCAACGCTGGAAGTCAACGGTCAAGGCCGAAAGTTAACGGATTTTTTGCCGGAAGTCAACGGTCAACAACGGAGTCAACGAGTTAAAATAATATTTAAATAATTAAAATAATAAAAAAATAGTAAATCTTTGCCACACATATCATGTACCAATCTTGTGGCTAAGAATGAGTCTCACATCCTCACTTTAAGAATATGGATACATTAGAACCAATCTCTTATAATAATAATTATAAGTAACTAATAAATAATAAATAATATTATAAGTATTGCATAATTATATACATAATATGCATATTTATGTACTACATATATCGTACTGCACATATACTTTTAAATATGTACTACACATACACGTGGACTGCGCATGTGTTCATATATATCTATTGTGCATATAAATAAATATATAATAAATAGTGCATAAGCGTGTACATATATACATACGTAATATTTCTTGAGATGGAAGAAAAAAAATGCTCCTCTATCTCTCTAACTTTCTCTCTCTAAACCCACCACCCTTCGCCTCCCAATCCATCCCCTCCCCGGCCACCACCTAGTCCTTTGCCGGCGTCCGTCGCTGGCGGTGGGCCGCCCAACTCTGGGGGCCCAGCCTGCCCCCCTCTCCTGACATTTACATTTTCTCTCTCCCCATTTTTCCATGGGCTATTCTCAGATCTACCAGCATCACACACCTCAGTCACCTCCGTCCGGCGCTCAGCTGAAATCTGCCGGAGATTTAAATGGTAAACTTAATTCATGGATGAACAATCTAAAAAGATTCATCAAATCTGCAGTAAAACCGACAGACAACATTCACATCCCCCAAACAAGATACCCGACGGTCCACGGCGGAGCTCGTTCCGGCAACTCACCATCTCCTGTTGGGCCACTGTTGCATTTCTCAGCGCCATCGTTACCTTCTCCAGCGCCGCTGCCTTTTCCAGCACCGCCGTTTGTGGAAGCCACCTTCCCGACAGGCCACATCCCACCTTCCAACACCGATTTCCCAGTCGATCAAGCTACCGGTACTCCCTTGGTCGGTTCAGTTTGGCTCACTCATGGTGAAACCCTCTCTTTATCCGCCAAACACTCCTCCCATCTCGGCGATAGACTTATCAAGCCAAAACGTTATCCTCTCTCAACCAGATCTCCCCTCAGCTCAAATAGCGGATCGCCTATTGGGCCTATCCTTAAGCCCAACTCAGAATTAATTCATAGTGGGCCGCCTACCTCTCCAACTCATATCATCCCTTCACATATCCTGACCAGGCCCAATGAATCAGGCCCACTCTTGCCCAACTCTCACAACAAGCCCAGACCTCAGATTCTGACTTTGACTCAACAAGGTCGACTTTTGTCACCACCGAGCCAATTGACAGAGACCTCCACCCCTCCACTCTTGATGTCGGCTGGCGGTCGTCCCTTTGATTCCGGCGTCGGCGGCGGTCACCCTCCGACGGGCGGAGCCCGTTCTTCTACTGCCACGTCTCTTGCCACCTCGCTGAAATTCTAGTCCGGCCTAGCTTCTTCTCCCACAGAGCCCGAGTTTCTTATGACATCCCCCCGCGGAAACTCAGCGAGCAGCCGCATAGGGGAACCGCTGCCCAAGGGCCGAGCCCAGCCAACCTCCCTCCACAACCGGTGAACTAGGGCCCCCACCCAACTAGAGCACGTTCCTTTCGAGATGCGGTCTCTGGTACTTCCACTTTTAAACCGGGCCACCAGAGACTGATGTTGGAGTCCTTCTGGGACAAACAAAGCCGAACCATTACTCGCTCCGAGGAGGGCAGGTTCACGGTAAGTTTCCCTGAGCCCACTGTTATTTCCCTAGCTGGGTCGTTAGATAAGGCTCTCATTTTGAAGTTTTCTTTCATTGTCCCTTCCCTCCAGGATTTATCTGTCGGTTTGGTCAAATTGGGTCTCAAGGGTAGAGTGACCCCTAAGTTCCTGAATTATAATCATTTTTTACTCTTTTTTGAGTTGAAAGAGGACTACAACTCAGTTTGGATTAAGATGCATCTCAATATCTTTGGATGTGCTGGTCGGGTGTTTAAATACACCCCGGATTTCTCCTTTGTTGATGAATCCCCCATAGTCCCGTTGTGGTGCTGCTTTCCGGGCCTTTTACCACACCTTTTCGACCCTTCTGCCTTCTTTTTGATTGCCAGTTGCATTGGCAACCCCATTGAGATGGATGCCGCTACGGCAAACCGCCCGAGGTTATCTGTCGCACGGGTGTGCATAGAGGTTTATCTTAGGGACGAGCTCATCAAGGAGATTGAGCTCGACCAAGCGGGCAAAACCACTATCTATAAAGTGGTCTACGAGAGAGTACTATTGTTCTGCTCCCTATGCAGTCATGTAGGACATGGGGCTGCGGAATGCTATACTAAGAGCAACAAGCCCCGACCTGTTCTGCCCCCCCGTCGACGTGTAGCGAGGTAGGGTCCTACTATCGCCCCGAGGAGCCCTAAGGAGAAGGGAAAGGCCCCGGCCCATGGCCCCGACCCAAAAGGTCAAAAGGGCAAGGTCACCTTTGAGGGCACACTGCCCAAGGAGGTTAACCTCGATAGGCGTAAGGCTAAAGCTACAGGCCTTTTTCCCCCACCAGTCCCTCCATTCAGCTCCCATAGCTACCCATTCCCGCTTCTCTGTTCTTGACTTGGAGTCGGAGGAGGAGTTTCACATTTCCTCCGACCATTTGGGAGCATCGACCAGCTCTTCTTTTGATGATGATGATCTATTAGTGGATGAGATAGAGTTTCCCGTCCCATTGTGTATCAAGGCTCCCCCTTCATTCTCAGCTCTCGTGATTGTAGAGCCCTCCCCCCACCGTACCTCACTCCCTTGCCCACCAGCTCGAACCCTTCTGACCCTCCCTTCCACTTCCCCCTCATCCCCCGCTAGCGAGTCTGATCCGTCTTCCCCAGAGGGACCGGCGCAGAGCTCCGAGGGATTAGAGCACCTACAGCTCATCCTCTTACCCCAGGAGTTTCCCCCTATACTAGGGGTACCTTCCCAGGAGATCCCTAAGCACCAGAGACCACAGACCAGATCGATGACTGCGCAGCTCTCTACTAGCCGAGCTCTGACCCTATCAGACATACAAACAAAGTCTAACCACGGACAGCTCCAGTTAGGCGGCCCCACTGACGTTTGACATGTCAGTCACATCGCTTACTTGGAATGCTCGTTGTCTGGCTAATAGGACCACCCTTGCTCATGTTAGATCTCTCATTCGTGAGCATAACCTTGACTTTGCGGCTTTCTTAGAGCCTATGACTCGTGACCCTTCTTTTGACGTATATTCGTGACGCATTGGATTTCATGCCGGGATAGGGAACACCTCTAACAAGATTTGGTTTTTCCACTTGTGTGACTTTACTTGTCAGATCCTTCGAGATACTGATCAAGTCTTGCACGTGAAGCTCACCGCCGCCCATCTTCTGGAGCCAATCATCCATACCTTGGTTTACGCCAGTTGTGTGAGGGTTGGTCGCTATGACCTCTGGGACACCATGCGTGAGATTGCTGAGAGTATGGAGGGATTACCATGGATGATTAGCGATGAATTCAACATATTCTTGCATCCAAGATGAACGCATTGGTGGTGTATCGGATTGCTCTGCGGAGATCTCAGATTTCTCGCATGTTGTTTCGGATTGTGAGCTCATCAACGTTGGTTACGAAGGAGCTCCCTTTACGTGGGAGAGGGCCAGAGTCAAGGAGAGGCTCGACCGCGCTTCTACTCAGAGGCGTGGACGAGGGTTTTTGCGACCACGGTTGTAACGCACCTTCCTCGAATTAGATCCGACCATGCCCCCCTTCTGATTCGTTGTCGGTTCTCTATTTCCCCTCGGCGAGCGTCCTTCTACTTTTAGAACATGTGGGTCCGCCACCATTCTTACTACGATACTGTTAGAGCCTCCTGGAAGCAGGCTACGCACCTCTATGGGATGCGCAACCTGGAGGAGAAGCTCATGAGACTCCGCCGCGTTTTGAAGCAGTGGAACTGGACGATTTTTAGTGACATTTCTCAGCACCTTACTGCAGCTCAGACTGCGTATGCGGAGGCAGAATGAATCTATGATTTGGATTCTTCGCCAGAGAATAGGTCCGAGATGTGTCGCTGCCACGCTGAGTACCAGTTGCGCCTCCTCATGGAGGAAGACTTCTGGAAGCAGAAGGCTGCTGTGCGCTGGGTGGCTGAGGGGGAACGTAATACCAAGTTCTTCCAGGGATTCGTGAGGCAGAAGCGAGTCAAGTCGTATATCCATAGTATCGAGGATAACGGGTCATTCGTGACCCAAGAGTCCCAGAAATGGGAGTCGGCTAGGGCTTACTTCCACTCTCTCTTTTCCTCTAAGCGGGATTTGCTTACGCACCCCGACCCGGCCCTCTTTCCGACCATCCCGCAGTCGGTCGATCTTGTTGACCTCTGTGAACTCCCGAGTAAGGAGGACGTCAGGGAGGCTGTGTTTGTGATAGATCCCAACAACGTCTCCAGACCAGATGGTTTTTCGTTCCTCTTCTTCCAGTCTTGCTGGGAGATTGTGGGCACAGACGTCGAGGAAGCTGTGAGGGAGTTTTTCTCTGGCCATCAGATGCCAGAGTCCTTCACGGAAAGCTCCATCATTTTTATCCCGAAGAGATCGGGACCTAGTTCTTGGTCTGACTATAGACCTATCATCTTATGCAACGTGACTAACAAGATCATTTCTAGAATCCTCAATAGTCGCCTCGCCCCTCTCCTCCCCCACCTTGTCTCTCCGAACCAGAGTGGATTCATCAAGGATCGAGTCATTAGTGATAATATCCTTTTGGCTCAGGAGATGATACACGACATCTCTCATGCGAATCGAACACGAACCCCGAACCTCGTGCTGAAGCTAGACATGGCCAAAGCATATGATAGGGTCGAGTGGTCATTTCTCAGAGAGATACTGTTTCGGATGGGATTCCCTAACCGTTGGATTAGCTTTGTGGAGGCGTGTGTGGAGCACTGCACATTCTCCGTTTTGATTAATGGTATCCCCACGACCTTTTTTCCTTCTACCCGCGGCCTTCGTCAAGGGGACCCCTCATCCCCCTCCCTGTTTGTTCTGGTGGCTGACTATCTCTCTCGCTGCCTTGACGGCTTCATTCGAGATTTTCCGAGGAGGACCTACAGCACGCGTGGCTGTGGGCCTCCCATTTCCCACCTTTATTACGTAGATGACATTATCATTTTCACTCGTGCAAATGATAATTGGACTAGTTGTTCTCATGAGTCTTTTGGACCACTACAGTGAGACATCTAGCCAGCAAGTCAGTGTTAGTAAGAGTACCTTTATCATGGACCTCCACGTTGCAGATCATTGGGCTCACCAGATTCACGAGCGCGCTGGATTTGCTCGTGGGGACTTACCCATCCTTTACCTTGGGGCCCCCTTGTACAAAGGCCATCTTTCCCATGAGCTTTTCATTGACGTCCGTCAGATGATGATTAACTGGATATCTGGCTGGTCACATAGACACCTATCCTTCGGAGGCAGACTTGCTCTGATCAAGAGCGCTCTTTGTGCCCTTCCTCTTCACCTTCTCGCGGTGCTTGACCACCACCAGTCTACGATTGATGAATTATATCAGATCTTAGCCCGCTATTTTTGGATCTATGGCGAGGGCTCGGGAGGTCGGCGGCAGACCCACTGGGTGAAGTGGGACTCCATCTGTCGTCCCTACTCTGAGGGTGGGCTCAGGATTCGGCGTTGTTCTTATATGGTTACTGTGTTTTCCTACAGGATGTGGTGGCGCCTTAGAGAGGGCAAGTCCCTTTGGGCCCAATACCTCCTGAGGAAATACTGCCCTAGTGGTGCTGCCCACCCCTGCAGGGTGACAGCCACCACTCGGGATAGTCGACAGTGGAGACGACTCACCATTATTGGCAGGCGTGCTCAGGAGCATATTGTTTGGACCTTGGGTTTTTGGGAGGTTAGCTTCTGGGATGAGTGGTGGGTCGGCGAGGCCCCTCTCTTGAGTACTAGGACAGTCACTCACCTGCCTTTCATTCAGGTGAAGGACCTTTGGACGGGAGGGTTTTGGGATAGAGATAAGATGGAGGATATTCTTGGTGAGTGTAGGGGTTTTAGTAGTCTAGAGATTGACCAGATCTGACAGATTCCCATTCTGGAGGGAGGTTTGGATGGCATGAGGTGGAGACTTACATCTTCGGGTGCATTCTCGACGTCATCAGTTTGGGGAGATGTGAGGCTGGGAAACCGGCCAAACCGCCTCTTCGGGACCATATGGACCGACCTTCTCACCCCGATCATTTCTGTCTTTTTGTGGCGTCTCCTATTACGGCGCATTCCCATTGACACTGTTATGCAGGCCAGAGGGTTCTCCTTCCCCTCCCGCTGCCATTG